GTGTGTGTGTGTGTGTGTGTATATATAACAGACAAGTAATGTTTAATAAAAGCTTGCCTAATTTCATGAAGATAATCTAGAATATTCAGTTATAGTTAGTATTGGATTAACCATAGGCCACCCAGGTAACAAAATTATGGTTCGTAAAACTAGCAGAATAGAAGCAAGAATAAGTTATTATTATTATTATTATTCCCAAATATTACCTGGGCCTAGAGCCCCACTAAACCTTAATCTGGCTCTGGTTAGTATGTATAGTTTCACAGGCTAGGCAAACTGACAAATTTCATTCTTATAGGGTTAATGCTAATGTACCTTTACTCTTCAGGTAACGTTTACTCGTTTCTGGAGGTATGACTTTCCTTCGATCCTTGGGATCATTTTCAGTATCTTCACTAGAAGCTGTTTCTACATCTCCTTCTTTCACTTGCTCTTCTTCTTCTCCAAACAATATTCCACAAGTGTGGATGTCTCGATAAGGCTGTACAGATTTTTATATATATTCTTGTGCACATTTAATTTCAAGAGTCACAGATTTTTTTTTTTTTTGTATCCTTAAAACTAGTTAATTAAGTAATCATTACAATGTAACATTATGTTTTAAAAGTAAAAACATTTTTGATCAACTATTTAACACAGAATTTTTTGGGGTAACTTATTCAGAGAAATTTGCAAAATAGTGCTCATCCTACTATCTCACTTGTTCAGTAGAACTAAATGAAACTTTTCATCCATTAAACTATTTAACAAAACTATGAAGTAACTTATGACAACCAGCACAAACTAAGCAAAAAATTTTAAAACCTACCAAATTTACAAGAGATGCTAACATTCTACAGACCAAGTTTACATGTACAGGTATATGGCAAAAGTCTTAACTCACAATCCTAACTGCTGAGCTAACTTTTTGTTTGATATATATATATATATATACCTGTGTTGCAGAGATAGAAACAAAATTCTTTGTGTAAACTATGTACTAAAAAATATTACACATCTTTTAATGCACCATGAGACTTGCTCTGCTGATAAAAAGAAAAAAATATAGTAGTGATTCCTATACTTAGCTTAGAAAGTTATATGGTGAGTCTGCAAATGAAATTTCAACAGGATACATGATCTTGCACTATTTGTATTATTATTAGCATATATTTAGGTATCAAATTCACATTTTTCAGCTTTTTTTTTCCTTTTTTTCTCTCTAGAGCTACTAGTTACCTGTAAAATTTAATATTCTCTTTTAAATTTATTTTTTAGTACTTAAATTAAATTTCTTAGGCATCAAGCTAATTCGTTATTTTGTTTATTAATGTATTCAGTAATATAACAATATTTTAAAAATAAATTATTAAACATTTAAGACTTATGTTTTCTCTTTAATGAACTTGGTAATCCTTTTGTTTTACACCAAACACTATATAAAATGTAATAATAAATAAAAATATTAGTTAAAATCTTTGCAAACATGAAGTAGATAAGGTTTACCTTAACTTACGTTTTTGCTAATGTTAGTAATTACATTAATGAGCTAAATCACTTAAATTTTAGACTTAAACTTACCTGTAAATGTAATGCTGGAAATAAAACAGGTGTAAACTTTTGTACACCAAAGTTACGACCGTAAGTACTACTGCCTGGCTTAAAATGAATGAGATTGTTTCTAAGCCATAAACGAGGTATTGAGTACTGACTTTTAAAATTGGAACCGAAAGATAAATACGTCCTAGAAATTACAGTTTTATCATTAAACCTAACATTTCCAATATACCGACACACGCTTGGTAAGCCTATTGTAATTTTATTGTTAGTGTTATTAAGCCTTACAAGAAAAACACAAGCATATTTTAGACCAGTTTTTAACCACATTGTTTTCGAGCAAATTAAACCTTCACTTAGTTCTGGGACTTTCTATTTCACAAATGTTTCAATTATGATAATACTATCGGTCTAATTAAGAACTTAACTGCTTGTGTTTAAATTAAATTTAAACTTTTAAAGTGTCATGTAACAAAGCCCTCAACTTCAACTTTAAAAGGGTGATCTGTGGGTTTTTGCTTTGACAAAAAGACACACTTTGTTAATGTATGAAACTGTTCAAAATACTGTGTTTTTAATTAGGAACTGAAATTAATTCACTGAATAGTTTGTATATTGGTAATAAATGAAAACGATTTATTTGTACTATTCCTGTATCCACAAAAAGACTTTCATAAGTACCTTATGGGCATTTGTAAAACGGGGAATCACCCGAATATAAACATCTAAAAATTATCGAAAATCGGCCAAATTAACAAAATCATTCAAAACGCCGCCTGCAAATCTATAATAATTTCAATAAATGACGTGTATTTAGGCCTATGTTTTAGAAATGTGTGGTCATAATAGCTGTTTTTGTGTAACGCTCACTGGTCTTTGCTTTAAATTTAATTAGACGTGTAAAACGAAATTGACTTTTCCAAGGCAAATTTTAGGTGATTCCACGTTTTACAAATAGTCTTATCTTATGACTACAGATAACTTATATTTTACTTGTAAGTTATACCGTATTATAAAAATTAGTAAACACGTTTTCCGAAACATAGCTCTTAGTAGTTAATCTATCAGTACAAACTCTCATTAACGATTAAACGAAAATAAACGTAACGTCTAATACTCTTATAATAAATATTAAAAACACGATAATACCAAAAAAAATCTTTAATACGGACGTTTCGGAATTTCCTTAAACTCAATCATCAGCGTTAATATCTCAAATAAACGTTAGTTCATAATATTCAAACTATAAAAACATCACTAGCATTGGGCGAGTTTTCGTATTCAATCGGAAGTTTAGAAAAAAACAGATTTAAATAACCTAAATAAAATTATTACTCCAGTCTTCAGGCTTACATAAATATACACCATGGCAGCAGATACGGTACCGGGCGCAACTTCTATTTGATAAAAACACATTTGCCTCGGATGGCTTTGATTAATAGGTATAAAGACCAAAATCTGCTTTTAATTGGGCATTTTACAGGTCCTATGTAACTTATAACGCAGGTACTTAGTTATTTTTGTGTAGATTCCGTAAACAATGACCCAGTAATGAAATTAACAGCAAAGAAAGACACTTTCAAATAAATGAAAGAGTGGAATGCGCTTTGGTTACCAAACATCCCAATAAAATTGAGATAGTCCCCCTTTTTGTCACTATCAGAAATAGTAAAAGCACAATTTCTATGTACTTCAGTGTGAGCTTGTTATGTATGGTTTATCAACATATGCTATATAATAGTAATTTCTAAATTGTCCTTTTAAAATCACCTGACAAAAACAAATACTGTACAGTGCCCTCCCTCGAGAGCAGTGAAATGTACACGTGCATGTTCAAAAGACCGTTACATGTAATAATTCCTCCCAATGCATAAAGAGTATAATGTGGTGTGCTATGGATGCATTCAAGTGTTGTTTCCGTTTGCTGGAATGATAGCACCAACAAATGAAGCCCACAGTTTTCTATCTGTAAAGTCTTGCTCATACAGTTATCTGTCTGAGTGCCGGTGTTGTACCAGTGATCTGTAACCATGGTTATTTGGCTATTCAGCTTCCGGCTCGAATGGTCATCAGTAAAGTAACAGAGATAGTTATGATTGAAACTAGCTGAACAGCTAGTGTCCCAACCATTGTATCATGTCAGAGAACAAACACATATCTTCCAGGACATCTGAAGTCTCTAATTGAGGTCTTGTTCGGGTCTTGTACACTACAACAGTTAAATTCATTTCAGCGGCAGTGAAGATGAACCATACAAGAAGTAATAATTCTACATTTGGATAACCAATCAGGAACTTTTAGAAGAGTAGCTGAAGAACTCAGACCTAGCTTAGGTGTTACTCGTCATGTAGCAACATAGTGCATAATCATCACAAACTGGTAAGCATAGTGCTGATGTATGTAAAATCTGGCATTTGTATAGTCTGTTACAAGTGTAGGGTGTCATTTTGTACCATTGTTATGAACCATAGAGACTAGTAGCTAACTTGTGATGTAGATAGTGGTTTCCAGAGCTCTAAGACAGGAAATGTGTCAAGCCTTGCCTAATGCGAGGACGAGAGGCCACCAGGAAATGTCCCGTATTATTGTAAATATACAAAAAAAAGTTTTTCGGTTGCATTCACGTAAAGACATTGAGCGATGGTATTGAGATTGTACCAGAGAAAACTCAGATAATGAGTGATATATTCCCTGTTAGAGAGAATCCCCCTGGATATAGTTGGTCCCCTATACAAGACTGAAAAAATGTACTCAGTAAGCAATTACTTCATGGTTATAAGCAATTACTTCATCAAGTGGGTTGAAACATATCCACTGGCTAAATGTTAGTGCATTGTATCACAGATGAATTGTTTGAACAATGGATATCACATTTTTTTATATTGTTTTTGCTTCTGAAGAAATCCACATGGACTTTAACAGCTAGTTGTTTCCAAAGTTGTGTTAATGTTTGGTGTAATGAAAACACACTGTTCATCATATTATCCTTAGCCTGGTGGTTTGGATGAACAGGTTATCAATTGTATGCTTGTAAACTTTGTTAATCATGGCAGAAATTATTGGGATGAACACCTACTTTACGTAATAATGGAACATCATGCAACAATCTATTGGTTGTTCTCCAAATCTGTGGAATGGCATTATAGAAAATTGGACATATGTCAAAGAGATGTTAAAAAACAGTAATATAATAAACATTCAAGTCTGGTGAGTAGGTGTGGTTGTGAGATGCACCTGAAGTGCAAAAACAACTTGGTTCTTACTGGACTACATCTGTCAAGAGCTCAATAAAGTAAATTATGAGTTACAGTAGACAGTTGGAACACTAATGCACATCAAACAAGCTTAGGCTCTATATCACTGACGAGCCTCTAGAGAACTTTTCATTCTAAGAATAAGAAGTTGACAAGCAGTTGTCAGGGGTTTGTATGTGTGAGTGGGCTAGGATTCTTCTACAGTAAGTGTCTGTGACTTGTTGGCGATAAATTCAAACAATAAACGGACAACACACAATCCATTTGTTTAAAAATAATATATTCAAAACAAGTCAAACATATATACAAAAAAGTCTTTATACTATAGGATATCACGGTTGAATCTAAAACTCTAAATAACTCCCTTTTCTTGTCAAAACTCCACAAAGGCTAATTCAATCTCTTTCGACTCCAAATGATAAGACGAATTATTTGTCTCTACTCTGTGATAATTCATTTACGTTACACCGTGAGTTAACACAGTTGCATCCAAAATTTTAAATAATTGTTTCCTTTTTGTCAAAGTCCACACAGATGGGTTCAATTACATTAGAACACCCTTTCACAAGACAAATTATTCCCCTTACCTCTGTCAAGCTGTGAAACTCACTTAAAAATATCGCCTGATACCACAAAACTAACAATCACGCAGCGTAACTTCACTTTCACTAACTTAACGTTTTCTGACTTCCTTTACTTAACTTTTGTTGGTTACTGTGCTATACTGGGCCAGTAGGTGATGTACAAATATAGATTTGGTCAGTACTTGAATTTATTATTTCTTCCACCTATCCTGATACCCAGATTGTTGTGGATGCTAGTAGAACCTAATCCAATATTAATAGACTTCATATTCCACTTCTGTTACTATTTGACCCCTCCATTTGGTTTTTGGGGAGGTGTTCCACATAGGCTTTTATGCCTGGCGTACTATGATCTAATCAAAAACACCTTACGTGTGAAAAAAGATGCAGTCAAAAAAGGATTGAGGATGCGACTTAAAGGAATGAAATCAAAATAGGCTGGGGGGCTGCGCCCTTGAAGGTGAACAACTTTTACACTGTGAAGTGCAATCAGGGCCATTATCTGGAGCCTATTGCTTACATCCGTTATTGTAACTTTTAAAAATAATTTCAAATATAGAATGGACTAAAATCATTATATTTATATAGATTACATAACTGATACTTGAAACCATCGGTTTATACCAACATCTATTTATATGTATATACATATATATATAGCACAAAAATCTGTGTGTCTGTTATCTAACTACTCTTACGTCACTGAGCCAATCACAAACAAACTTTCAGGGAGGATTGTTTGGAACAAGGGGCATGTTAATGAGACGCTCATAACCTCTTCATCCTAATTATTATCCTTGCCGTAAGTTAACGTCAGCTATATTCATAGATGGCGCCACGTCATTAGATTGAAAAAAATTATTAAATTTTCTATAACACAACATACATATACACAGTGTGGGGGGAGGGGACATAAATGTCTTGTATATATCTCAGAGTGTGTGCTAGCGCTCTCTATAGAGGAATTCAATGAAAAAATGGCCGCCACTATTACAGTAGTACATAAGTTCAGCTGAAGCTTCTACTCCAATAGCCACCATAACGCTGATATGAAGAGCCGTTTTTGAGTTATACCCACTTCCTTCTTGACCCGTGACGTTTCTACTTCGGCCCGTAAGATACTTCTGCGGCCAATTACCATCAATTAATTAATAACGTGAAACAGTGTGGAAGGACATTATAGCTGGGTGTTGAAAGCATCCCTACTTCTTCCTACAAAGTCATCCTGATCATAGCATAGTACATACCAAGTTTTAAGTATATACGTATTGAGTTCTTAAAGCTTATACAAAACTTTTGGTGAGGTCATAACCCAGGAAAAGGACGGGTGTCTCAGATTGTTAGTATATATAATATTAAACTAGTGAAATATAGACCTAAAGTTATCTAGACATACCCAAAAATTTACAAGTCCAGCTCTATGAAAAATTTGGGTTATCACCAACACGCAGTTTTCCATTGCCCCAGCCCACTACCCTTTTTGCACGTAACAAACTTGTTAAAGTCGCAGTGTTCCAATTACTAAGTTAAAGTTACAACAGTAGTAAATACCACTGGGCAGTACTGAAATAATGGAATTATTATGCATATTTATACTAAAATACTATTAGATCTAGTCTATTATTTTTGGATTAGTCCGTATTATTGGCAATAAGACAGTACGAGGCTTACATGCAGCCAGGTAATACCTTACCGTGATTACGATGACAACGTTGTTACTGTTAACTTTAGACTGTTTAATTTTTACAACTAAGTTACATTGTTATAGTCTAAGTTTAGGCCTATTACAGACAAAACAGTGAATATATCTAAATCGAGTTTGATTATTTTCAAGACTGTGTACGGGAATGACTTTGAACGGATCAGCGCCATATTAACACGTAAATCTCATTTTCGACAACAACACATCCGCCATGATGTGATGCACACTTCACTTAGGAAAACCTCTGATCAACTATATTGATTAATATTCATGCTGGTCTACAAAATGTCCTCAGTTGCATATCGGTAAATGTTCGTCCAACAGTTTTGGGTATTGGAATTAAGAAGTCGGGGTTTTTATTCTACCAATTTATTTATTTTTCAATTGACGGAACTCTGCCTTTAATCCTTTTTCCGATATAGAACAAATCTTTGACTGGTGCAGACGTATTTGACAGGCTGTCTTCTCCAGCCCCAGTGAAGTTGGAAGATATTAATAAACCAACAAGTAAACTACGTCTCAAATGTTATAGGGAAAGATGTTTTTTTTTATTCCTGTTAATTTTTCGTTCAACAGTCTCGAATCTGCGTTTTGTGGATATCTTAAATGTATCTGTTGTGTGTCAGTGTATCTGATGACGTTATAGGAATACTCAATTGATTCCGTCATAATTTTAGGGATTATTATAAATTGCAGTCCATATTGTGACTGTTATATACGTTATCAAATGTTATCTTTAAGCAACTTAGCAAATATTTAAAAGGTAGGATAAAAGACCACCAACTAACTTAACTCTTTTGAAACCTGATCAAAAGAATTCCAAGTTATCATGGTAATCTACCTTATGTAACCATGATATTACTCCACCTCCTCTCAAACTTAACTTTGTCATTTCCAGTTTGCACCTGAAGAATAAGTCTACCTTTTAAGTGTTTTGGTTACAGTGGCTTGTTTTGTTGAGAATTTACACGAGAGCTATCTGCGCTGGGCATCCTTAATTTAGCAGTGAAAGAATGGAAAGCCATCGCCACCTACGGCCAACTCGTTTACCAATGAAAAGTGGGATTGACTGTCACGGTATAACACCACCCATGGCTGAAACGGCGAGCACGTTTGGTGGGACGTGGATTCAAACCAGCAACCCTCAGATTGCGAGTTGAGTGCCCTAATCGCCTGGCCATGCCCCAGGGTTACAGTTTCTCACATTTGTTTATAATTAACTTTTTCAACCTAAATCTCAACAGTTGAAATGGTACAAGCTTGAGAGAATGTATTAATATATAAATTTGGGAATATCTCAATCATTAGTTAGGTAAGGTTACTGAGCACTTCCCCATTATTCCTCAGCTTTATTAAAACCAACAAAAACACTTTCCTTCTGTTCCACTCAAATTCTACCTTATGAACAAGTCAACAACTTACACTCATTATCATTACACTCCCCCGTCCTCACGCCCCAGTTAGTCTGGGTAAAATCTCATATGAAGACGTATATAAGCATTATACATTTCAGCCTTTCATCAACTCTAACTTCTTAAAGCTTCAACACTTCAACGAGAAAGGGACTGTAAGATACACTGTGAAAATAAATTAATGAGACAAGAAAGACAAGCCATAATGAGCCAACAGCTTAATAAGTGACTCAAAACTTCCGTCTGCCGACCCCATTTCTTTAGGTTATCTTTTTTTTTATATAGACTCCTCTGGTTTTTACAACTTACAAAAAAACTTGAAAAATTCGTTCCTCTTCTAGTATTATCCACAAAAATATATATTGTATGTGTTTAGATATATGATATATATATACTAAGCCTACAAGAAACGATAGTGACTGATTCTGAATTCAACAATTATTTATTTAAAAATCGCATTATATCCATGTTTAACGAAATCAGCACTTGTAGCAGCAGGAAATATATATTGAAGGAATCTCGAGATATAAAAAAATGACAACAAAACTCGCACTGATCTTAAAATTAAATTTCAGTATGGATCAAAACCTGGTCAAAGAAATGGAAGCAGTCTACGCATGCGTCTAGCTTTGTACGAAGATTTGTTATAAAAATGAATCTTGCATCCATATTCATTAAATTAATTGTACAAAAAAGGTACGATAACAAAATGCATAGTATTTAAATAACCAAAATACATAATAGTTAGCTGGTTGATATAAACAGTCTTGAGCTAAAATAGTAGATAGCCAAAATAATTTAGCTCATTATGATGTAAAATACGAGTGTGGCATTTTTATTTTCTGACTATAAGTGTGCAATGCTTAAGTTTTATTGGAAATATTTCATTTTTTTATATCCCAAAGTGTAGACAAAGTTAACACTAGAGGGCAATCTTCCACGTGGTATTTATCCTTTACAAAACACATTTTTCAACTTTTAATAATTACGATGTTATTGGTCCAGCAACACCATCCTTTCAGGTGGTGGTGATGGGGGTTATTTAATAGACAATTTTCTTTAACAAAGCTTTTATTATTGTCTGGTCTTCAAAACATTACATGATCTGAACCAAACTTATTGACCTTCCCCTTCGTCCAATTTCTTCAGATAAGTCTTCTTCTTCTGTTCCACTCTATTTCTATGTTCTGAAAATGTCATTTTGGCTCTGTTCCATCTGTCAAAAGTATCAAAGGTTCTGGGTTAAATGGAATTCCAATTTATTGAAAAAATACCACACACACACATACATATATATTAATTTGTAAGTTTGTAGTCAAATTAACTTGAAACAAGAGGAAAGCCAAATTAAAAAAGAATTATTTGCCATGAATATTGTTTTCCTTAAGTTTCAATTACATAAGACTTCACATTTTGACTTTGAATTTTATTTTTTTTCAAATCATTTACTAAGCTTAGTTACCCAACACAGTCTTTTCTTTAAATATGTACAAAGAGATTAGAACTGGCACTGCCCCTTCCTGGGGAAACCTAATTTCAACAGTTCAAATGCAAGAAGTTTGAGAGAATGTATAAATATTTAAATTTGGGAATATCTCACAACAACAACAACAACAAAAAAAAAAACTTTCTTTCTGTTCCTTTTTTATAAAGTAATAAACATGTCATTTGTATAATAATTTTTTCCAATACGTGCAGTCAGGGGTGGAACGGCCTGGGCAAATACTCAAAAATCAGGGTGATAAATATATATATATATAGAAAGAGAGATGAACAGTAAGTTAGTCAGTAGCACCGAGACGGTTATCACCCCAATGGCCCAGGCATCACCGGCCTACCGGGATTTTGCCCGGTGTCCCAGTCCGCCCCTGCATGCAGCAGTACAGTACAAATGTGATTCCATCATACCTCTTCTTCACAATATTGGCCTTGGGAGGTTTTGGCTTATGCTCTGGATCAGCTCGAATTGCAGCTTGAGCTTTCTTGTATATCTCTTCAACCTATTTTGTTAGGAAAAATGCAAATTTTTAATACAGATATATATTGCCATGCTGTAAGTGTCTGGATATGTGATCACAAACAGAGAGATCCTAACAATCTTGTCATAAAATGTAGTACCAAATATAAGGGGGTAGTAATTCTAGTTGTTGTTTTTTTACGGCTGCTGTAGCCAATCAACTGCTTTACAATATTTTACTGTATATATTGGTACTATATTAAAATAAATGTATTGTTAAATACTTCTTTTTCTTAAAATCCACATTTCTGTTCTATAACAAGCATATTCAAGATAAAAAACAATTTATTCACGTATGTTTCATAATATGTGACCTAAGATTCATACCTGCTGTGAAGTGGTAGAGGCTTAAAAGAAATTTGTGTAAAATTGACATATTTGTCTTCTGGCTAATATCACATTTTGAAATGTCAACACTTCTAAGTTGACATAATACATCAGTGCAAGGTATTAATTAAAAAGGCTACTTATTTCTCAGATCCTCCCTCCAAGTTCAGTACATGTATTTTTAGTTGAAAGTTTTTATAATTCAATAACTTTAACATATCATTTACATCATAAAACTTACATCATCTGGAGTTATCCCAAGTTTAATGTATTGGGAAAACTGTCGTTTGTATGCTTCTTCGTCTTCATCCATCAACATTTTCATGTATTCTGCCACATGTTGACCAAAAATATGCTTACGATGCACTTCCGCATTGAACTCCTTGCTTTCATTGTCATAGCCAGGAAATCGCTTATTGCTAAAAGAAACAAAAAGAGTAAGATGTAATTGATGCTTACAAAACAAATACAACTACAACCCTGCGAATAGCATTTTCAGTATCTTTTTCTCTATGCTAGAATAGATATCCTACTATAGAGCACACATTCATAAAACAAGTAGCAACACTGCTACCAATTAATTTCTCAGCACTCTTCAAATAACTTTAACACTCTCTAAGGTCATGACCCCAAATAGTTTCCATAGTATACCTTCTGTTTTGTGTATCTTCACAAAATTTTGCAAGCTTTTAGCAAGCACTAACATCTTTTGCAGATTAAAAAAAATAAAAAATATTTTTAACGAAGTATTTCCACTTAACATTTTCTGAGTATGCGGAATCAAAATGTGGAATGCCTCATGTGCAAAGCGATTTACATGTTAAGATTAAACATACTGTTTTTCATTTGAAAATTGTCAAATTTCATTTGTGTAATCTCTAAACCTCCTGAATAAATTTCAAATATCTTTTCTAGCAAAACTTCATCATATTTTATCTATTTTCCCTACTCTAACTTTATATGAAGTCAGTCAATTAGACCAACCTTGCAACCACCATTAAAAATATGAAATAAATCCAAATTACCCTTTTTTTCTTTCTATAATGATTTCAATTTGTAACATTAAACTAAATTTGTTTTTCCTAAATAGCTTAAAACTCATAACAGTATACATCTGTTTGTACTTAAATTTTATTGCCCTTTGAGCAGTATCTGACTAATAATCCCACCACACAAGTTGTAAATCACTTAATAAACTTGTAGCTCACATTACCCTATTGAGTTGCTTAGGAAATTTTTATATTTTACCTAATCTTACCTTATCTAACTTAAAAAGATTCTAACATTTATATTTTAGTTTCTTTTATAATAATAAATTA